TAATGTCTAACATGCTGTACTGAGAGTCATCTTGGATTACTATGTTGGAAAAACTGACAAATAAATCTATCTGTATAGCGAGAGCGTGTCTGGCCTTCTGGGCCTCCATCTGATGCTACTCGCTTCTAGGATAATCTTTCTAACTGTCTACAGGCACACCATGTGCGTGTATCTGATTAGGGCACCCTGATAGTGATCATTATCTCTAATAATCTGGGTTGAATAGAATGAGGTATGAAGTAGTCTAACGATACTCTGAATGTCCTACTCGGACATTTGTAGATCATGCATAACTGTGGAGTTATGGACATCTAACTACTTTGTTCTTCTAATTGAACAACTATAGAGCTGGGCTTGGTCGAACTTGCTTCTAGGAGATCGGTCGCTGGTTCTTCATAGGGAGCTTACCGATCTCCTTAGCATGTGGTTAACATTGTACTAGCAGAGTACTACTGACTCCTTAAGCCTTGTCTGAATCCACTCGGATATATATTACTGTTCTGGGCAATTCTATTTAGACTGGCCCTCTCCTGGCACTCTGTACCTGAATACCTTACAAGAAACGGCTAGGGTGCTGGCTCGACACTGACTGCTGATGTGGACCCCTCCTTGGGGTACCCACGGGTTTATCTGACTCGGACGACTGGGCTGGCTTGCTAGCGTCCTACATGATAAGTGTTAGATCTACTAAGACTGACAATCACTGCTAAGGCTAAAGGGATGACGGGCGATCGCTCAATACACTGGAGAACCCTGATGTCGCTAACTCTAGAATATACCTATTATGTCTCTATTTCTTGTTCTGAGGTGTGCGATAACGAAGATGACCTCTAGGGATGCTTTCCTGCCAATACGGGGGCCAATTGTTAGACCGCCTAACTGAGCCCATACCGTTTAACCAACTGATTCAGGCTACTAACTCGTACGAGCCTCTGAAGTCTAGGCCTGGCAACAAACATATAAGTCTATCATCCCAAAAAGCTGTGGATAAAAGAATTTCTATAGCATCATACGTGAATCACATTTAACCTACTCTCCTTTTTAATGAGGGGTCCTGCCGTTGGATCTGTACGTGAATTCTAACAGCTAACAAGAATATATGTAACTGAGATCCCCATTGGCAGTTGTCACGCCCCACCTTGGGAGCCATGACTGGCACCTGGTGACCTACTAGGATTTATACTACTGAACTAACTGAGCCTAAGAACCTATGGTAAAAGGCTGGCTCTAACTCTGGATTCAAGAAAACGACGGGCTATATAGCGGCTGTAAATACAACCCCCGACCCACAAGGCCTATAGCCACCTGTAAAACGTAAACAGCTAACCAGAACAACCAACTATAAGGAGTCCTATTGTCACGCCCCACCTTCGGAGGCATGACTGGCACCTGGTGCCCTACTAAGACCTAGACTGTTGGACTACTAAGCCTAGGCACTTCTGGTGCCATGCTGGCTCTAACTCTGGGTTCATGGAACCAACGAGCTATATAACGGCTGTAAATACAGCCTCCGGTCGAATAGGCCGATCGACACCTATAAGGAAGAAACAGCTTACCAGAACAACAGTAGTATGAAGGAACCTATGCGGGCCGACAAGGCCACCATGCTATCTAGTTACTTCTGAATCAAGAAAATAGGTGCTAAACTGGTACGTGACCAACAATGTCACCACTACCAACTGAATAAGGCCCCCACACGGCCTTCATAAACA